TTTCCAAATATGTGATGCATTTGTACAAAGAACTATGATGTGAATTTGTTGAAAACAGTTAGTAAGCCTGAAATTCCTTTTTTGCAGATCGGAACAGAAAGTGTAACAACGGTCAAAAGCTATGTTCAATAATCTTAGAGTTGAGAGAATGTATACTGATTGAAAAGACTGAAAAGAAATGCGAAGATGTGTTTGTGAAATTTCGTTAGAAGTTCCTAATGTCATATTATGTCATTTTCATACAAGCCGCTGTTGTAATTAACATTTAAGTTTAAGTGATCACTCACTTGACGTTTTGTAATTCATTGTTTATGATATTTATTTTCTGTTACAAATTGTAGTAGTTTACCTAATTCATATCAGTTTATATATTAAATAAGGCGTTGCTTTGTTGCTGTAGCTAATAAAGATTATGCTTGCGAAAAACAAATTCCTACCTCTAAATCGGCAACGATTTTCACTATGTGAGAAAGTGGTCAGTGGATGTTTTTCACAAAATTTAAATTGTGTCAAATAAAACATATATGTTCACTGATATCAAGGTTTCAGAAGAGCGGAAAAACTAGTCTTCATTCGTTTCTATCCACGTTGTTCGATACATCTAGTCAATGATGATCTGAGTACCTTAGTAGTTCTACTCCACATAAATTTAGTCAACTATTCATAAGCAACTTAGAACCTGACACAAACATATATAATTCGGATTCTTAACGCTTCACAACAGTAAAATATTGACTTAATGAAAAGCAATATCTTCGAATTACCATATATGCAGAGCATAGTTCGAGAAAAACAAATGAAATGAATAAAGAAACATATTTTATATACATAAAACTTAACATTTGGAACGATATAATGATGAATGAATGCATCTTTAGACCTATGTTACTTTAAATATCAATCGGAGGGAAATGATTATCATTACCTATACTTCAAATCAGAAGTTACAGATTTCTTAAACTGAAGCCATGTGTCGAGGCATATTTTAGTTGATGATAGCTTGGTTTATTGAACAAATCACTTATCGAAAAGTAGTATATGGTACATAATAAAAAGCCCTTAAGAGTAACTAGTGGAAAAAGTATTTCGAATTCCCCTAAAACAGGGGATAAGTTTACAATCAGATTATCAAAGCATATTATTTTTATTCATATAATGAGAGTAATCAACGTTTAGTCTATTGTTAATTATTATCTCCATCTTCGTTTGATCAAATTTTCTTGACGATTATTTTAGTTCCATTCGTTTAAATCAAAGCGCTTTTTTTTAAAAAGTGGCGAGACTCTGATTCATGGACGACCTTTGAACGAATCCTAAGCGAGCCTGAGAAATATTAACCAATCAGCACACAGTCAGTTTAGAGTAAACATATGTTATACAAAACCAAGGAAATAAAGTGAATACACTTCGTATACGTGGTTCAAAAACATGTCAAGGTTAGAAAGAGGTTCACAGGTTCTAAAATCGTAATGCATGCAGTAGATGAAATCATCCATACGGCTACAGAATAGTCAGCCACTGGAGTTATGATTAAGTCTCAAAATCTCTCAGCCTCGACCACATAGTTTCAATATTGTTTATGTGCACTCTGGTTGTTGAGTGCACAAAATACTACTTGTGGACAACGTCACGATGCACATAACCAAGCCTATGTAGGAGTCTGTGCGCTCTCCAATCATCCGTATATATTGTAGTACCTGGCTGCTGCCAGTGTTACTGATGCTTTTATTATCCAGTTCGCAATAATTGTCGTAATTTGCCTTAGTTGGGAATTATATATGGGGTTTTCATCACGAGCTGACATCAGCTATAATGCCAGAAATTTATTTAGCCAAATGGATGGAAGGCTTTCGCGTTAAAATCCGAGATCTATTATCTTATACCACAAATTATAGTCTCACCGTTTCATTTCTTATAGCCGCTCAATTATCACATTTTGCATAAAATTTCCTGTGAACCGATCGTAAGTTAGCCCTAAGCAGTGAAGTTGGTGCCGTAACCTTGAAATCTCTAAAACGCTTCTGATTGGCTCGTCCATAAATTAGAGTTTCGCCAAAAAAGTTTCTAGCTTTCAGTTTAGTTTAGTTTAGTCGATCTTGTTATATGCTTTATATATTTAATAACTATTAAGTGATGAAATCATAATCTAAATGAGAAACTACTTGAACTTTGAAAACTTAAAACTGTACAGTGATTCACTGTTGAATTAGTTGTTATGTATTTATAGAACGAAAAAATTCCCCTGACTGATCCATAATATTCTTTAAAGAAAAAATCTAAAATCATTGCGCTACGAAATATATGTTTCTATCAGCATATAATGTAGAATTCATTGTTACGATAAAACAATTTACTTAATAATAAAAAAGTAATGAATAAATGTATTATAAATTCTTATTTAATGAACATTTATATTAGTTAGAATTATTATTCTGTCAACTTTTTTTCTTTTTTCTTTTGATTAACCAAGTCTCATTAATCGAACAGCTCGTTTCATAACCTCTGAATCATATTGATCACCATTATAAGGAATTTCTAGTTCAGCAACACTATCACCTTGACTGAATGAAGGTTTTCTAGAGGCTTCAACTCCTAAAGGATACCACCGACGCATTGGTTCTCCATTAATTTTATTAGCTAAAGCAATAATAAAATAAAATATGATGGTAAAAACTTTCATTGATTATATATCAATAATAAATCTTTGTTGGATCTTGTTAAATCTAATAAATAAATACCAAAAACGTGAAGTTTTATAATGTTACACCTGTCTATACTTAAAACACCGTCAAGGAAATCGTGAAAAATGATTTGTAAAGTCTACTAAATTTCATATCATTCAATGACAAAAACTGTTCCCTAGTTAAGTAACAAATATATGGTCACTAGTTGTTACTTAAGAGAAATATCATCAAAATTCTAATGAAAAGACATAATTTATAATACTCCATTATGTCAGGAAAGAAATAGTTATCACTTGTGGTATTGGTTGATGATTATGAAGAATCGCACATTCACTGAAGTGACGAACCAACTGAGCGGATTGAAGATATTATAGTTTTCAAGAGACTTGATCAATCCCCGTTCAATCACGTTCATAGCCTTGGGTGTTGGAGAAGAACCTTATAGTGTCACGTAAATTCTATCAAATTCACAGCTCTTCAAAATGAGCCCAGTCTTTAGTTAAAATGAACATCAGATACCAAGGAAATTATATCAGTTAAATATCTCATACCTAATCAATAAATCAAAATGACACTCTGTTACTAGAACAAGTATATCGAATACAATATGAGAAATCATAGAGATTGTTATCATTATGAAGATAACAATTACGAAGTAACTTTATGAATGGTTCTGAACTATATGGGTTTTTTTTTTAGCCTTACTTAGAAATACTTAACATCTTAGAGGACAGAAAACTATCATTATAGGAAGAGAAGTTTATTTAAGGCAGTTTGTAGGTGGAAGTAACTAAACATATGCTGTAAATGGTTGACGTTGTAAGCTTATGAATTTTAACTAATACCACTTGAGTATAACTCTTTTGACTCAAATGCATGTAAGCCGAACCTAAGCAACAAGTAAAATTGTACCACAAAAAATGACAAGAAAATAATTTTGGTATTATCCACAAGGTATACTATATAATGTTGGATAAATATGCAATCTATTACTGTTTTATTGTTTAATTGAAAATATATGTGATGTGTGAGCGAGAATGATAATAATTGGTTGTCTGCTTAGTCAGACATGTAGATAGTCTGACAAGTGTTAGATGAGTTATATACTCCCCTATCCTTATTACTATTATTAATCACTTATTAGTGATTGTTCATTGTTGTTGGATTGTGTCGGGTTTTGGTGTGGAAATATTTTCACGTTGTAGTCAAGCTAACCACGTGTTCTTGATCTGAGTTGTATTGAAGTCGTGTAGAATAGACACTGGAGGGGGGGAATCTAGTGTAGATATTTGTTTAAGGTAAATTAACGTCTAATACGTGTAAACGTGGAAAGCCAACCGTTAGAACATTAGACGAAGTAAAACCGAGCGTTATAACAATATGAATGGTTATAAGGTTTATACTACCGATTACATGATATATATGACACTCCGTAAACTCATATAAACAAAAGTATTCTTCGATTATATTTAAAATGGCATTTCTATTTGTGGAATAATTTCATTATCTGAGTTCGTCAATAACATTCTTTATCTACTCACTGCAAACGTTTAACTTCAAATTCATGTAATCTTATGAAGTTAGTGATGTGTTGTATACGTTATTTCTCAATGAAAGCATATTGTTTATGTACAGCTTCTATAAACCGTCAGGAACGTCGGTCGTTGTCAAACAGGACATTAGGTCATTGCAACAGCATCAAATAAAATATTTTTCATGGTCATAAACTCTTATCATTTAGCAACCAATTGGCTATTCGATTCACTTTGTCCTATGTTCCATAGATAGTATGTTGAGTGCGGTTATGCATACTGTAATGTTTAAGCTTATATATACAATAATACTTTGATTCAAAGCGTGCACCGTATGTTTTAAAATAAAGCATACAGATTCTTTTCTTGTCAGTTTTTATTTTAATTAGAAAAATTATCTAATATTTCCGTAACTTTGTGTTCGTATTGATCTATTCTATTTGAACTGTGTCCGAAAATCCCATTAAATTTCCATTCCGGTTGACCTTTACTTTCTCATTCAGTTTAAAATAAATACAGGAAAGTGTATAGTAAAGGTTGTAGTATATGATATAAGTAATCATCACTACCTGCAATATATCACTAGTCAGAATGTCTATAAGGGTTATTCAAACGTAAACAGTATCATTGAATTATTTAAAACAAACAAATACTCATATAATTTCATATCATTAAAATTATAGTTCAGTTTTCGTTCCTACTCACCTGTTTGCATGCTATAAAGCATAATTGTTGAAAGCAAAAAAATTAGAATTTGTATTTTGCCAAACATTTTAAAGTGAATTTAACTGAATGGGGTATTGGCTAAAAAAGAGAAAGTTACACCATAGATAATTATTGATGACTTAAGCTGTCACTCAAATAACAAAACGTTTATTAAATATACGATCTCTATTTGGACATTTAAAAATGCTGTTTAGTTGATTATGTTGGAAATACAAACCGCATCTTAAAAGATTACTTATAAAGAGCATAAGTAGTAGCTACTAGTTAGTAAACTACATACATTTCCCACTTTTTTAATAAGATTAACATTATTTATTTAATAAATCTATTCAGTTTCATTGACAGATTATGAATATATTATAGAGATCAGACTAAAAACTTATAATTGCTTGAATGAGTTTATTCAAAATTAAAATCATGTATACTCAAATACCTGTGTTTAACTCATTAAAACTACCATCTTTTGTATGCTTTACAAATGCCAGTTAATTTATAAATTTCATTTTGTGGTATTAGTTACGCTTCACCTCATGCATTGTTTGACTTGCTCAGTTTCTACAACAAAATTAGTAAGTTCTGTGAAAAATTCGCCTCGATTTGACCGCTGAACTTGAATACATTTGAGATTTTCGATAATAGAGAATAACGTACTCCATTTATCGATGCTAATGTTAAAGTGAAGTACTAGTTGTGGAACTTGACGCACAATCTAATCATAATCAATATGAAAAGCAATGTGGTCAATTTTCACGAGGGTGATTTAATTGATGGGGTTGAGGAGATTCATGAGTTTCACTAAATCGTGAATTGATCAATGTTAAATCAATATTGAAAACCTGTAGTCACTGATGGCCTTTTCGTCCAAGTATTGGACTATTCAACAGTGTGCATTCACAATCCCACACTCGGGAATCTAACCCAGTACCGTCGGTCTCGCGCAAGAACGCTTAACCTTCAGACCACTGAACCGCAACCCAACAGTGTTAATTTCTACCTTCAATGAATTCATGATGTCACGCGTCCCTCTTCTATTGTCTTCGATCGACAACTGCTTCACAGCTAACACGATTGAATTCGATTGGTCACAGCCTTATGATCTAACATGGAGTAGGTATATAATCAAGAAATCCGAATATTGTGTTTAATAAGTTCATCCATAGAAAAATTAATACAAGTAACAATCAATCCAGAATTTGGGAACTTAATGGTGAACACTGAAAGTAAATTCACTGACCAACTAACTACGCTTATAAATGTAAGTGAAAGAAAACTTTATTTGATTATCATAATATCAGCATAAACGTATGGATATAAAGCGTAATAACCATCTGGACATTCTAAAAACGGAGTTTTTGTTTTCTTTTATGAGTCAAAATCACATCAATCGAACAGTTTGAGATTCACTACTGAACTATGATGATACATTAATAATAAGTTCAATGTCAAACAGAATTTGTGGAAAAACGTTTTACCCACTATAGAAAGATATAAATACCATAAACAAATTTGTCATAGCAGTACTCATTTTGTATGGAAATAGTTTTAACAGTATATGGCATCTTAGCATGCTTGATGTCAACTTTTACATAACGTACTTGGATTCTAACAACAAGACATTTTCTTAAATTCATTGAATTGTTTTATATAGGTAATAATCACTAGAATAAAAATTTGGAAGTTATTTATAAATCTTAAATCAATATAAAATGTACTTAATTATTCTTCCCATTCATTTTACTATTTCAATTTTGAGATGGTGGAGAAGATTTAAAGCTCAGGTGGATGATATTAGTGGACTTTTGTTCTGTGATCTGGATGGTTTGGTTATGAAACTTTCATTTTATTTCATCAACATTTCTCGAACACTTCACTTCTACCTGAAGTTTGCACTGATGATGTCGTTCAGAATATAACGATGAAAGTTCTACGACCAAACTATCCAGTTTAGAGAACAAAACTCCACCAAAATCTATTTCAATTGCATGTATTCAATCTGAGTTAATTATTATTTAGATTAATCTTTACTCTCATTTCTTAGCACATCACATCTTTATGAAATGTTTACATAAAATGAAATAATTGTATACAAGATTGTGAATTTTTAGGGGAAATATTCACGTATTTTTGAATAAATAGTTGTTTTGTTTTATGGAATGAAAATAAATAATTTGAAGTAAACAAGGTTTTCATGATCTGTAATAATCAGGAAAAATGAGAAGTTTATTACGAAGTAATGTAGAAACTTATTCAGCAATAGTGAATATAAGAAAACGATTATTTACTCATTACTGTTATTATTATTAATGGTATTATTATTATTATTACTAGGTACTGATACAAACCTTGTTGTTTCTCATGAAAGTCATTCAGTGAAGAAAACTTTAACCGTTTAAATGAACACTATATTTAAGTAGTTAATCATTTCGTATACAAATACTACCTATTTTTTTCCTAATGAATATGATAAAACTTTACTACATTGTAAATAATGTTTAACAACTAAGTATGAATAAAGTATCGAAATAATGAAAGGTTTTCACTCCATAAGCCATGAATGAAAATCTCACTAAGACTTTATAAATGTTAATATAATATGGTGAATGATAACACAAGTGGGAACAATTGAGTGTATTAGAATATAAAATTACAGAATAACTTAGTGAAATCTGAGAACCATATGGTAAATATTTCACTTGCAAAATGTCAATCAATCGTTTCAGACTTCATTGTTCTTTCGTTTTCACACCAATTATTCTCTGTTTTTCATGGTGGTCTAGCTTCGATTGACTCATGATCTCTACTACTGAAATTACTATAATATCCATAAAAATCCCTTTTTGAAATAAATATTTTTAAAAAAAAGGTTGTACACGTTTATAACTTTGTGACGACAGACCACCGATGAACTCGAGGAAGTTGTAAGAGGCTCAGAAAGAGCCGAAGATTTTCTATCCAATCACCTTTCGGAAGAATATTCTAGAATTCCTACGTGTAGCTTCCCAATTGGATAATGCTAATAGCCCCCCGAATGCGGATTGGAGGACTGTAATGATGATTTCGTTCTTAATAAAAACCATAAATACCTGACAATCTTGTACTATGATTGACACTGTTTGGAACAATATTCCTCTCATTAGTCTTTTGTCTTCTTATTGCGATTTGGAAGGGCTTTGTTGTTCTAGTGTTCTGTTATACGCGGTATATCAAGAAATCAACATTCAAGATATAACAAACTTCTTGTAGGTTTATCTTTTCTCATTAGACATATAAAAGCTCATAATGTCAAGAGATATTTTACTACAGAATCGTTTTGGTTCAGGTCAGTTATATCTATATTGATGTAATACGCTTTTTCAAAATATAACTATCTTTATATCCTAGTTTGAGAAATATTTTTTTCTAATTAAAGATATATTTTCTTTCATACTTTGCGCATATCTAGCTTTTTATAGGATGGTGATATGCTTAGTCAATATCCAATTATTGTACAAAATTGAATTCTTGATCAGAATTCGGTAAAAGGAAATGAACGAAACAAAGAAACAGTTCTTTCCAATTAGTTTTTCATCATGGCTCTTTCCTGATATACATGTTATTGATAATAATAAAACAATACATATCAAGCAGTAGTTTCATAATTTCATTAGTGATTATAAAACTATGTCGAAGGATTGACTCAATGATTAGAAAAACGAAATGGTGAGTGTAATGGACAAAGTAATTATTTATAAGAATCAGAGAGCAGATAGGACATTTAAAAGAGGAATATATAGAAACTTGTTAGTTGAATAAAGCACTGTTTTCTACACTTCGGTGCCAATCAGATATTAAAGGATTTACTTTGATGATATAATACACTGTAGCAAAAAATGCAACATAATTCGTAGTACTTATCACTGACTCATCTTAAGGCATTAATGGTGTCTATAACGAAATCAGTTTGTGATACCAGTCAAACAGTAAAGGGTCACGAATCATTGTAGTAGACAACATTCCCGTTCAACAAACAATGAGATACTCCTGTCTGATGAGCCCTCTATGCGAAGTTAAAAATGAAAAATCTTTCGTTTCTATCTATTTGAAAGATGCATGGCAATGCTATATTTTGTACGTTGGTTTTGTAAACTGTTTTTTATCCCAAAACATATTAAAAATTGTATTTTTGTTCTTACGAGTACTTTTTAAAATTTAAGAGCGTTTTCAACTTAGTTACTTACTTACGCCTGTTACTCCCAATGGAGCATAAGCCGTAACAGGCGTAAGTCAGTAAGTAAGTAAGTAACTACGTTGTTTTTTAGCTGAATTTTGGAATTTTCACTATTTGCTTTTGACGTAGATACGCAGTGAATTTCAGATGTATTGTTGATATAAATTTTACTGCGTGTAAACTAAGTATCATTTTTTTCAAAAGAAGACTACAATAACTTCATATCTTCTCACATATACTGTAAAATCTTCAAAAAAACATTTAACTGATTAAGTTGTCAGAGTTAAACTTTTCACTTCACTGAGTTTGAATGTATCACTACTAGAATTCGACTTCGTAATTCCAAATAAATTGAACATTGGATAGATTGTAAATAAAAATTTGATCTTGAAAAGTCTGCTACATAGTTACAAAACGCCAAAAATCTAATTTTCTACTAATTTGGTTATTACAAATATATTAACAACTTTATTAACAACTACATTTAAATTTGAAGACAACCTATCAATAGTTACTAAGGTGTTTGAATTTCATCCATCCTAAACATAGAAATCTAAAAACAGATAATAAATAAAGCAAAGTAAATATGTATTCTTTTTTTATCTAAAGCATCAAACATATTAGTTCTTCAATATGCGTTACAACAATGTTTAAAAAACAGTGTTATCATAAAAACTGTAGATGATATAACATATAAGGTAACAAATTGTTGATAGTATAAAGTAATGATAAATATATGATTTACAAATGAATAGACTTTTACTTTTCAAAGTTATCCATAGCTAGATATAAAGGATTTTTAAAATTTTACTAGGGTTAAAGAATTTATACTAATTTCTTCTGGTCACGCAACTGAAGTTATTTACTAAGG